CCAGTTTACCAAGTAGAGGAAGAAGATTGGGACGCGCCAGTCCCATCACAGCCTGCTACCAAGGGTCCCCAAGTGCAAAAGGACGAAGATTGGGACGACGGCATGCCGCCTATCCCAGCATCCAAAATGGGACTGGCTCGTCGTCCAGCAGGGGCCTCAAGCCAAATTTAAAAAATTATTCCTTTTTTTCTGTAAAATAAAAACCTAAAAATAAATGTGTATAATTTTCTCAACCAAAATCGAACCTTACAGTTGCAATAGCTCTTTGGCCTCATCTTTATAACGTTCTAGTTCATCAGGCGTAATGGCAGATGGTGTAACACGCCACGCATTTATCAGATGATTATCATTGATGGGTACAATTTCTAAAATGTGTTTTGTGATAGGTTTCCCTTCTTGCTTAGAAACATCTGCAAACGTATAGGCACCATCAGAATCTTTAATGTACAAGTGATTTCTTACTCTACGAAACTTATCATTTGTAGTAATCTTATTGGCCAAAGTGGAAGCCAATTTGACTATGCTCGCAATGGCGCTAGGCGAGAGAAGTTTATCATTGGCCGCTGCTAAAGATTCTATGGTTCCGTTGCTAACAGTATTCTTAAAATTGGCCAAATTGTTACGATATGATGCAATGGCTTCTTTAGTTTTCGGATAGCCAATAAACAGTCCATAACAACGTCTCTTTATCGCTGGCTCTATTTTACTCAACAAATTGGTAGTAAAGAAAAAGTAAACGCCTTTGTTTGTATCCTTTTCCATTTCAATCATAAATTGCGTCACTGGATTGGTATTGATAGGACTGTCTTTTCGTGTCGAAAGGATCGCTTCGGCCTCATCGAAAAAGATTAGGACCGAACGATCAGGCGTCACCTTTTTACGAGCCAATTCGAACAAGTTTTTAATGTTCTTTTCGGTGCCGCCTACATAGGCCGACATTAGATTTGCACTGTTTACTTCAATAAAAAGTAGATTATACGATTTCGCTATCGATGCAGCCATGAAGGTTTTTCCAGTACCCGGAGGTCCAAACATCATTACATTGAAGGTGTTATTAGCGGCAAATAAACTGACAATAAGATCACGGACGTCCTCTTGGCCACTCAAATCCCATAAATTGGGCGCTTTAATTTCGTTGGGTTCACGAATCGCAAAATCTGACTGGTCCGATTCTGTGCCGCTCTGTGACATTTCGTCCATAGCTTTCGCAATGTAATCTTGATAACTCTTCAAGGAAAGATAGTTCGGCGCTAGTTGCTTGATATTGTTGTTTTCTATTGCTCGTGATACTAACCAACCGATTAACGATTTTACCTTTGTAACAATCCCCACTTCATCGGGATCTACATTTGCGTTGGCGTATGCCACCAAAATACTGGCGGCGTCTCGCCATAAAACCGCTGCATCTTTATAAAGGCCTTCAGTTTCGAGTCGAACGGCTTCCTTTGCTAAAGATAAAACCTGTTGAAGCTCCTGAGCCATGTCGACCTCCATAGAGGGATTGTGCGAAGATATTGCGGCCATAATTCAAATGAACCTTATAACTGTTGTCCGGGTCGAATCTAGTGACATTTGGAGTGTATGCCATCAGTTGATAGAAGGAACTTACAAGTCCTCAGTCGGAACACATTTGGAATGTATAGGTGAACAAAATATAGATGCAGTTGACATCAATGGATTTCGAGAACTTATGGCCCTTTCCATCTATAACGATGTAAGAACTCATTTTAACGTCAAAGTTTTTACCGGTCGTCGGGCAGTTTGCCAAGTATGTTTATGTTTTTCCATGGCAAACCCTATTATCGAAAAATGGGATATAGGACTTGAACATTATCAATTGGACGAAACTCTAACGCTAACGAAGAAGGAATATGCTCACGCATTTTGTTTTTCTAATTTCAACATTACGCTCGAAAACCAAGGACCGCAGCTAGAGAAATTAAACTACTGGGCAGCCGTATTATTGAACACTAAATACGTTTTACAAAAGGATCTGTTTTTGATCATTCACGATCCTAATACATTGGATCATTGTATTGGGATCGTACGTCGGACCATCTCCAAGTTACCTTATTCGATGCGAGATCGTGTTTGGGTACTTGATTGGTTGAATTCCTCTAATTTACAAAAAGGAGAAGGTTACACAACGTTAGCCACTCGTTCCGACGACAATGCTCAGCTTAGGACAACGGATGATAATGTAGACGTGTACATAGCGTTCTCTACCAGCTTGGAACAGGTACGAGTGATGGATTATGTGAAGCTAAAAGTGGTTTTTCTTACGACGAAACGAAAAAGAAACGAAACCGAACCGGCTGACCCAAATCACTACAGCGAATTGCAATTTAGAAAACTTTTGAAAAGTACCATACTTAACGCAAGTTGCCCCGACGATGAAGAGCAGCAGCTCGAAACAAACCGTACCGAAGATTACAACTCTACATTTTTCAACGGTCTCCTGCAAGCCGATCGAAAATCGCCCAATTGTTATTTGGCCAGTTCGTTTCAATTCCTCGACCTGCCCCACGTCGATGATGATAGACCATTTTCTAGAGCAGAGTCCTATATATTCGAGTTGGTGAAAAAACTGCTTTTGCAAAACGAGTGTTATAAAGAGTTGATATTCTCAATTGTAAATCGTCTGCCACGGTTGGTACCGTTTTTTAAACCGTCGCCGAAATGCGGCTTGTTTCCATCAATTGAATCTAGCGAGCAAGACTTGAAGTTTCTGAATATGTTCGCCGTAAGAAAAAAGACGACTCAAAAATCGTCGTCATCGCTGCTTAATTCCTTTGCCGTAATATAGAACCATAATCGAATTATCCTGATGATCGGCGACGGAGGCTTTCAGTTCTTCTCTTCGTTGCAGTACAATAAATTTACGGTAGCTCAAGTTTACGAGGAACCGCTCAGTCAATATTTTCGAGAGAGCTTCAATTCTTTCTTGTCAAATTTTAGTAAGAATTTCCAGAACGCAGGCTTTTACGAAATTTTGTTCCGCCGCAATAAGTGGACTTTATTGAGTAGATGTAATCTCGATGGTAGTAACCAAAAATTCCACGTATCAGCAAAGAGCGACGTCTTTGAAGCATTAGAGGAACCTCTTTCACATACGAGCTTTTACCAGAGGAGCAATAAAAATGGAGGCTGGTTAAAGTGTCAACCTGAGAGCTTCTATAAACTTGCATCGGAACTTGTAACATTTCCGGTGATAAATCAACACGTTTACGTTCATGGAAACAAGACGAAAGTAAAGACACAGGGCGACAAGGCCGTTTGCTCCATATGCTTGTACAATAACGAAATACGTGTTTTGGTTGTACGTAACTTCGAAATCAAAAATGAAGACGACCTGGCAAAGCATGCAAAGGAGAGGACAAACTCAACGGGTTGGTGTTGCTGTGATCGATGTGCGCCCTACGTATACAATCAACAATTTTTACGAAACAAAGCCAAATGTATACGTATTGAATAAATCGCTCAATGGTATTTGTATATTTTTCATTGCCCTCTTTAACGATAGTTTAACAGACTTGGGCGAGTCTGAACATTAGCGATGGATATCCCCAATGGTTCTCCGTATATTTTCTCTCGTTACTAGGCCAAATAAAGTTGTGCCAATAACAAGCGCTCTGTGAACATCGATTCGCCTCGTAATCGCCGATATTAATTAATCGACATGGTGACAGCAGCGGGTAGCTTGGACCGTCTAACCACTGTCCCATGCACGATTTAATCGGATATGGAGAATCCAAGTATCCCGCTCCGAAGCGATTGTAAAACCCACAATTATATTGACGATTCGGTGTAGCTGAAAACCAATGCGATTCCTCGTAATGATAATCAATCACTGAAGAAGGAATATGTACATCGGGTTCGATGTATGCACTCATAACGTAAATATGTTTATTCGCGTTAAAATCCTTAATCGAGGCTGGTGGCGTACCGACTTTTATCTGAAATTGCCACATGGACCTCAAACGTTCGTTTGTGGCCCGAGAAAAGCGCCGTAAACCTTCCAAATCTGTCATGTATATCGGGATTATTTTATCGTAATATTTAGGATGTGAGTAAAACAAGTAGCCTTCTATGATTGAATTGGTACGTTTCATAGCAAAGTTGCATTCGCCAAAATCGTCAGCGACGGGTAAATAACTAGGCCAAATATGCACGCCCAAGGTTTCGCCATTGGCATGACAACCCGCTGCCGGTTCGTTTCTTTCAAAGATAAATCTACACGGATCTGGCACATGGCGTAGATTAGGGTGAGCAAATTTATGCCTGAACGCAGGATCAGTTGAACTGACTGGAATTGTTGCTTGATTGGGCAAATAACTAATGTCCGTTTTAATTTCAAACACTTTAGGTAAACGGCAATGAGGTCCACGAATATTATCAAATGCAGATATGTACGGGTCGTCACACAAGCAATTACGTGACATGGGATCGATGTCAGAACGAGCAAATTTGCCATACTTTCCGCAATTAACTTCAACGTCACAATCACTGGTTAAATTGATTTGGGTAACGAGATTTGGATACGTACACTTGCATATCCATCCCATAGTTTCCGTTTCCGGATCAGTTTCGAACAAGACCTAGTTTCCTGTTACAGGGTTGCAGTTTCTTTTCCGTGTACTTTTATGCAATAGCCTTTAGCAGCGTCACGGTTCGCTTTCAATGTAACGACGCTTTTGTCTCTGGAGGAGAGGCTGAGAGTCATATCTCGTTCGAAATGAATACAGGAAGCGTTTAATTGCTTACAAGATAAACAGGCCATTTCATTATTAACATCACATTCAATCATTTCCGTTACATCGCAGTCGATAAATTGTTTAACGATAATTTCCGGCGGATAGTTGGAATAGAAATTCGTATTTTGGTAACGGGTAAGCGCTTCTTGTGGAAAATTCAGGTCAATCGTTGACAGCCAGTATAAACAGAAAAATCCCAGTATTAATGAGCACGTTTTGAATATTGCCATTAATAAGAACGCCGACATGGTTGCCTCTATAACCTTATTAGAATTTATTCGTCGCAGCCAGCAGAAAGTATGGCTTCAAGTTACGCCAATTCTCTCAAGTTCCACCGTATTCATCTTGAGCCGGATGCTGGAGTATGAAAAAATGCGCGATACGGCCCACTTCCTAATTCGGGATTATCAAAAAGCGGCCGAGTTTCATTATTCGGCGATATTCATATTGAAAATGGCTAAATCCGTATACGCCAAATCGTTTAGGGCTCTAGCTCTTCTTAAAATACCCCAAAGACCTACCGAAGAAATGTTGGACAATTATGTAGCCTACTTCAATCGTCAAACGCAATCTCGTAAATACGTATATTCGCCCATAAATCCGATAGTTGCGTTCCTAATAGAAACCGTTAAAATGTATTGTACCGATGATGTTGCCCATAGTAAATGCGAACTAAATGACAACATAAAAACGCAAATTTCACGCGACCTAAATGACATGATTTCCTCTTTGAGTGAACCAAGCATTTCAACGTCGCAAATGCAACACAGCTTTTTACAAAAAATATTGACAGAAGAGTTTCCAGAAGCGGCCGACGAAATTCTATCCAATCTACCTGGAACAGAGCCTCAAGCAGGAACAGAGCCTCAAGCAGCAACTGAGCAGCCTCATGCAAAACTGACCATCGAAACGGAAAATCACATTGTCTCGGTAGCCGAAATACGTGGTGATCAACCTGCCGAGAAACGTTTACGTTTAGAACAAGAGCCCGTTGAACAAAATCATGCGTCAAGTGATGATGGCGATTCTTTATTCGAGCTTGATGATGATATTGAAACGGACGATGAAAATATCATCGCTAAGATGCCACTTGTAGGTGTATCTGCCAGCAGTGGAAGCACATCAAGCCACGCATAGTCGTTCACGCAAATATATCACCAGGAAAATTGGAAACCGTCAATGGTAGCAATACCATCTTGATAGGAAAACAAGATCTGCGAACGGTTGTCGGTATTGTACTTCAAATGGCTGGATGTTATTTTTTGGTTGGGTGCCTTTTTCACCGTAATAAAGCATTTACCATTTTCCACTTTAGTTGAAATCATGTTGTCGCAGGTAGATAATTCGGTTTCGTTAATTTCGAAAAGCCATGTTTCTCCCAGGCCTGTTTTTGCTTTGATTCGATTACGGCATACACTATCAATTTCCATGACTAATCCGGGTAATGATAGGGATGACCGTTTACTTAGCCACAAACCTTCATTACCCACAATATACAGAAGCGTTTCGTTTTCGTGATCTATAAACAAAAATTTGAGCACGGACCAAGTTGGTGGGTAAATCGGATCAATGTTTTTCGATCCATCGATCATTTTATATTCTCCCGACTTCAAACCCGTCCAAGGTATAGGTAATACCGTAGACCTGAATCTATACCAATTGAGATCTTGCGATCGAAATATTTCCATGTAATAGAAATCCGATTTGAAACGGAAATGTGGCACCGGTCGAAATTCGACGGAGAGTTTTCGGGGAAAATCGCACATTAAGGCATATTTACAACAAGGCCCAAAGTTGAATTGAAACGGGGTACCAAAGGTATCGTTCCAAATATTTGCTGCTAGCACGTGCATAAAATAGCGATCGCTTTGATTCACATCTAGCTCTTTTGGCAAAATTATAGAATCGCTAGTCATCATGCCCCTGTAGAGCGACGGTAGGAAAGCTAAACCCTCCTTGGTGTCTAGATTAAGGTGTCGCCTTAATATGTACCACAGAAAAAGGTTTTCCAAGTATATAGCTCCCGTTGAATCTGTTTTTTTCACAAAGTCCATCGAAAACTCTGCAATTTTCACGTTCATCTTATCAGGAAAGAATAGCAAAACAAGTAATTTTTGAAGCCAGGTTCTCAGGGAAGTTACTTGTACCAAATCTCGGTTAACCCCAAACTCAATATCTACGCACTGGCGAATAATATTTGTCAATATATAACTGGGACGGTAAAAACAACCTATCAATATATCCACAATATTTTTTTCTGTGGGCTGAGGAGGCATTATCATGGTTTCGATAGCAAATTTCCTGCTAAACATAAACTCTTCTGACATTCGTGCTTTATTATTTTGATGACTCAAGCACCTTTGTTGGAATCTATACATATTGCATCACTTATAGTGGTGGTGGGACGTTCCCCACCGATTCGATGCACCTTGCGCGAGCTGCATAAAAGCGGCCGGCGGTTAATGAAAAAATTCAGTTTCTACTTACGCTTTCAACAAGTACAGTACCGTACCTACTCTACCTACCGTAACGAAAAAATGTCTAGTTTTCCGAGTTTTCCGTGGCCCCCAGCTTCGGCCGTCCCTGCCGGCTATACGGTGGCGGTTTGGTTTCTTTTGCCGCCGCCGCCACCACCACCAGCAGCATCATCAGAGGCGGCCGCAAACATCAACGGGCCGCCGCTGTTGTGCTGCAAAATAACGAGTGACCCGACGAGCCGCCCGCCGCAAATTACTTCACGCCGGCGGTAGATTGGTGCGACGATTGGGACGAGCCCGTCCCAGTCCGAGAGGTGCCAAAGGTGCCAGAGTGCCACGATTGGGACGAGCCCGTCCCAATCCCAGAGGCCACGGAGGCCACGGTGCAAGACGAAGACTGGGACAAGGAGGTGCTAGTCCCAGTCCCAGAGGCCACGGAGCAAGAAGACGAAGACTGGGACGATGAGGTGCTAGTCCCAGTCCCAGAGGCCACGGAGCAAGAAGACAAAGACTGGGACGACGGGATTCCATCCTGCCATGCCTCAAAGCTTTTACTGGCTCGAAGGCAGGGAACGAGCCAGTCCAAGCTTTGAGAAGAAGAAAGAAGACAGAAGAAAGAAGACAGAAGAAAGAAGACAGAAGAAAGAAGCTGTTGGACGACGATTCGACCGGCTCGTTGTCCAACAGGTACCTACTTTTTTTAAAAAAATAATCTTTTTTCTGTTAAATAAACACCTTAAAACAATTATGTGTATAATTTTCTCAACCAAAATCGAACCTTACAATTGCAATAGCTCTTTGGCCTCATCTTTATAACGTTCTAGTTCCTTAGCCGTAATGGCAGATGGTGTAGCACGCCACACATTTATCACATGATTATCATTAATGGGTACAATTTCTAAAATGTGCTTTGTGATAGGTTTTCCTTCTTGCTTAGAAACATCGGTAAACGTATAGGAACCATTGGGATCTTTAATGTACAAGTGATTTCTTACTCTACGAAACTTATAATTCGTAGTAATCTTATTGGCCAAAGTGGAAGCTAATTTGACTATGCTCGCAATGGCGCTAGGCGAGAGAAGTTTATCATTGGCCGTTGCTAAATTTTCTATGGTTTGTTCGCTAACAGTATTCTTAAAATTGGCCAAGTTGTGACGATATAATGATGCAATGGCTTCTTTAGTTTTTGGATAGCCAATAAACAGTCCATAACAACGTCTCTTTATCGCTGGCTCTATTTTACTCAACAAAAAAGACTATCTATGCTGTGCAATAAGTAAATCATTACTTTTTTTTAAAAAATTTCAACATCGGTGTGTATAATGTGCAATAAAACTGAAGCTCAAAATATTACCAATCATACTTTGGACAAGAAAAACTTAGAATAATTACTCTTATAAATTAATCGAATAATTGTTCAACCAATAAATATTTGGAAAAATACTTTGTTTTGTAACTATACCCACAGTCCCACATCCTGGACAGATAAAATAAAGGTAGGTCACTTTTGACCATGGTTGACCCCAAGAGCAGGATACCAATACCAATGGATTATTGATCGTATAAAAATACATTTATATTCTTTTCGACTATGGAAGGACGCTCTGCATAATAAAGATTTATCCATTTTGTTATTCTGTATACAGGTTAAAAAATTATGAATATACATGAAATTTTTTCACTCAAGAATTCTCAAAATTTAAAAAAAAAATAAATTAGAACTATCACGCATGCTCATCTAAGGAAAGGGGTAGGATTATGAAAGAAAAGGAATATTAGTTGAGAACTTTTGTGTATGGCAAATTAATTTTAGTTTAATTCTTGATTAGAGAGATTTCAAAAAAATTATATTGAATCTATGGGTGAGCAGAGACTTTTTTTTAAAAAACTCGTCCGCAAACTTCTCTTTAAAAATGGTCAAGATTTCATACAAAAAAAATCCTGAAAAAAGTACCATAATATACAACCCATGAATGAGTGCAACATTCTAAGTAGTTTTGAAAAACTCGATTGTGAATCTCTCTGAAACCACCGAGAAAGCAGGTAAGATATTTACCCATAAATTTTAAAAAGGTATTGCAGAAAAAAAAAACGGAACTTTAACGTAAATGGGTTAAGATGTAAGATTTATGTTGAACCGGGTCGAAATATTACCGAGCGTAGGTACCGCGAGGGGTTCAAAAATATGTGACGCCTGTTATCCCCCCCTTTTTTGCCATGTGATTGAAGGGTTAAAAGATTCACCTAAATAGGCCGAAGCCGTTGTTGTGCCCAGTTGCTCCAGATAACCCAGGGGTAGGTTCTCAAACAAAACTATTGTTTCCCTGGATCGCTTCCTTGTCAAAGTCGGTTACCTATAGGGCGCCACCGTATTTTAGTTTAGTCAATGCTGAAGGCGTTCTCTCACTGTTCTAAAGTCAACCAAAAATCCGGAAAAATCAACAATAAAATAAGAACTCAATTTAAATTCACTTTCAGGTTATATATTTGTCACAAGAACTGATGTTATCAGCCACCTATACACTTTGTCACTCTATTCAATATTTAAGTATCTTGCTTCTAACTATTAACAAGAGTTCATTAAAGCCTGTATGATCATACGAGCCGCACAATTATTCAAATATCAATAGGCTTAAATAATAAAACTTCAAATCTGGTAATTGACTAATCAAAGTCAAATTCAGTAATTAAATACTCAACGTTAAGTTCAGTAATTAAATAATCAAAGCAAAGTTAAAACCCGGATTTATAAATAATCCAAGTTAAATCCGGTTTATCAATAATCAAAAGTCAAATTCAGTGTTAAATAATCAAAGTCAAATTCAGTTATTAAATAATCAAAATTAAAGTTAAATCCGGTTTATCAATAATCAAAAGTCAAATTCTGTATTAAATAATTAAATAAAATTCAGTAATTAACTAATCAAAGTTAACCTCAGTTATCCATTAATCAAAGTTAAAAATTCGGTCTATCAATAATTCAAAGTCAAATCCAGTATTTCATAATCAAATTAAATTCACTAATTACTTAATAAAAGTTAAATTCAGTAATCAAATAATCAAAGTTGAATCCGGTCTAATAATTCAAAGTCAAATTCAGTATCACATAATCAAATTAAATTCAATAATTAAATATTCAAAGTCCAATCCGGTAGGTAATTAAATAATCACAGTTAAATCAAAAATCAGTATAAATCCCGCGAGGTGAGAATCCAAAGTTCGTAATAATAATAATAAAAAGTACTTAGCTGGTGAAGGCTAATTAATTTTTCAAGTTAATCAATTCCCAAACGTCAAACGTCCAGCGCTTCAAATTATTTCTCAAATGGATACCATCAGCCAAACCAGTCCAAAGGTCACCAGAAAGGACGAAAATGTGGAAATTCTTGTTGGCAAGCAAAGGAAATGGTTCCACCCAGAGAAAACAAATACCCTAGAATGAAATTGACCACTTTACACACAGTATTGTTTCACTATGAATGTGGTTCGATGGATATTGAACCGGAATACGGCTTCAGCAAAATCCCAAGAAGGTCAAAATATCGGCAAACTAAATCTCGAAACTAACCCGACATTTGTAACTGCAAATTGTGCAAATTAAATCCCGTTCAACGGCAATTTCCAAAAAGGACACAAAAATTAATTCACTCGCACAACGCC